CAGTCTGCTCTACACCTGACGCTAACGCTAAAAGTTGATTCATCTGTATTCCAGCTTCAGTGACTATTATTCACGATGCGTGTGGGCCATTAAACGAACTCATTTCCTTTTTCATTCGCAATTTCCTTTCTTCCAGTTCAGCACTATTCCGATCTGTCTTTCAATCGCACGATACCGAAATAAAGATAGATGCATCAACAAACAAAACAATCTCATCATATTGAATACCATAAACAGTCAGCAATATGAGCGTAAAGCGTAATCGAATTTATTTTAAGCAATTGCGATGTTGCTATTTGATTCGTTCGGTCAACAATGACACACACGGAATAACTGCCTTTGTTCGTCATCGTAATCGTGAACATAAAATTGATTCAATGAAATGAGAAAGTCATTCAGTCACAGTCATTTATCTTCTGGCCCACACAGAATGTGTGGTGATGCATTTTGATAGGCGATACTTAATCATGAAAGTCGGCATCACAAAATGGCAAAGACTAACATAACTAAGCAATGAAGAATCCGATTTTGAATCAAATTTTCATCTCATTAAGTTTAATGCATTTAGCTACACGGCTAAAAAACAAAGCAACCCCTTTTCATGTGTGAATACAGAAGCTGTCGAATAACCTACAAGTTTTCAACTACCAAGATACATTTTTGACGTAATTAGTTAGGCCAAAACATCCCGAGGATTGAAGTGTTCCCTCGGAAGATCGAAACAACGATCGGAAGACATACTGACAAAATGATTCACAAAAAAACATGATTAAGACAAAGAATATTAAATACTGAAGTGACGTCGGTCGATATGTACCTTGACGACAATGCCAAACCTGGGTAGACAGATCAGATAATGATGAAGTAGTTAGAAACTCAGTCACACTTACATATTAGCCGAATTACTTATGCTGTTAGGCTTGCTGAGAATAATTTTCATGTCAATTACCTATTCGGATGTACGACATCATCCGAATGGAAAAGGTCTGCACAACATAGAGTAGTATGGGGATCGGTTGACCTGCGCCCACGTAGAGAGCGAAGACAGGTCGCTAGGTAATCACAAGGTATCTATTCGGATGAATTCTGTAGCCGTTTACATTCCACGCTTATCCATCTATCGCTGTATCATTTCATGAAATTGAAAGCAACACCATTCAAATAGATCGCAGCGAGTGCAACAGTAGACCCTTCGCAACAACCTCAAATGTATGTGTACTCTGCATTCGCAGGAGTAAAACCCGAACCTGAGTGAATTCTGTGGTTTCGTCAACTGTTTTTGGCGTATTTTGCTCGATGAGTGACGGCAGCCCTTTACTTGGATCGGTTTCGATCAGCTCTGGCATATCATCGTCATTATCTACGGCCATTTCGATCGGCAAATCCGCCAATTGTGGATCCATCGTGGATGCCATTTTCGCTTATTGTTAGCGATTGATAGTTCTTCGATCCTGTTTGTTCCTTTTCACCTTTTTCAGTTTTTTTACCGACTTTCTAGACCCGAAGTTATGAAGAATCTGGAATGAACAATTAATAACTGACGATGATAGAGCTCACCATTCAATTAACAATCACAACAAATCGATACGAGTCAACTGCTGCTTGACGCTATCAGACATCATTTTGCCCATATTTTCATAGAGTTTCGATATTCTTAATGCTGTCAATCTAACACAACTGAAAGTTACATAACTACAAAACGATTTCACTCAAAATGACTCTCTCAACTCCACCCGAATGTCTCCATTTACCTAATCAATCAATTAGAAATAACGATTCATGACGCAACCGTCGCATTCAGAAGCGAGAAGTGGAAAATTGTCATCGTTGAAAAGAAGTTATTTATTTTAATAATCACGTAGAATATTCAACTGATTGTGAGGTATCAGTCAGTTAACAATATGAAACAAAAATAATGAATCTGAAACAGCGATAACAATAACATCATCAACAACAATTTTAACAACGGTACACACCATAACAATATTCATAAGAAAAACAACACAAGCAAATGATATTCATCAGAACAGTAAATATTTTAGTGGTAATAACAACTTGGAAAAATCGGAAAACATCATTCTAACAATCAACAGTTAATCACTGATGCGCAAATTTTATTAACCCGGATTCGTTTTTTTTTTTGAACAATTCGGCACCTACATTCCATATTGTGCACTAAGACTCTTCATAGTTACGTCCGCTGCATGAAATTCTCCTCTGACAGCCTCATTTGTGACCATGTGTAATGAAGAAATGCTGCGTTTTGACGAGATTTTGTGAGACGTTCGAAGTGCCTTCAAAAGATTCAACTATTCATCTAATCAATCGCTATCATATCAATGATTACGGACAATTGAACACGACAAGCAAAAATAAAAAGTAAAATGTAAATCTAATTTGTTTTCGTATTACCTGTTCGTGTACGGTATGAACGACTCGACAACGGCTGCGAAGTTTGGCATTTTCAGCAAACGCTCTGGTGTAAACGTTCGTAGAACTGCGTTCAGCACCTTCTGACTCGCCTAGAAACAGACAGCTTCTAATTAGTTGTGCTATGATGGATTAAAGGGAATCACATAAAACTGAATATAATCATTTAAATCAACAGAATATAACATCGTATATGCAAACATTGGATATCATTCACGTAATTCAAACAAATTATTCACCTAACTGATAATTGTAACGAAGCAAAACGATCAAGTAAAGATATATGATCACTGAATATGATCAAGAACATCAACAACTAACCGATGACGTTCGACTATTCGTGTTCCATTGAGAAGCGAAATCAAGCAGTATCACAAGTTGCTCTTCAAGGAGATCACATATTGCCTTTCGCAACTCGCTATCATCTTCTTGATTCAACATAGCGTTCACTACTTGCAAACAGCTAAAAACAACGTCAATTTTATTAGAGATCTGCAAAAAATTTGGAGAGTTCTGCAAAATTCCTCATCGATTTTTACAAAGCGCGTACGATATGAACTTGAGCCATAAAGCAACAAATAATGACTCGAAGCGAATCAACATCTATAGTTGCCATTAGGAATTCCTCAACTCAACGTTCAACTGATTTGAAAATGATAACAAAGCCCATCAAAAAGTTGTTATAACAACTCTACGAATATCTGAAATAATGCAGATATTAACTATATAAAGATAAGAGCAATTTACTTGTAGGGCCTCGACAATGTGAGTGAGAAGGATAGTGCTTCAGCATATCTGCCTTGTTCGATCAGATTTGACAGTTTCTGCTCGTCTTTAATCTGCTGCGTTCGCTTTAGCTCTTCCTCTTCTCGTTTCTTCTCGGTTACATCTTCCCAGATTCGGATACGGCCATCACTCCCAGCTGAAAGCACACCATCACATAACACCTATTTCGAAAGATTACTAAGACAACAGCAATTGTGTCCACCATCATAGAAAGAAGAACCATACCAATATTTTACAACAGGATAGAAAACTATTACCTGCATAATAAAACTATTAATGTGCTTAACCTAAGTAACACCTAAAGTGTCATTTCAAAGCGAATGACTAAAACATAAGTAAACTTTAATAAGTAAACTTTGCTTTCATCTCATTTTCATTCGTTATTCTTCTATGTCACGAATCTTCTTCGTTCTTCTATGTCACCAATAAGAAGGGCTGAACTGAAAAAAAACTTCATGTGCATAAAATAAAACTGACCAGTAACAAATCGGCTTTCATCCTCATAACCCAGAACCGTCCAAATTTTGTCATCATGCGCCTCGACTGTTGACACACAATCTTTCCCAGACAAAGACCATATTTTCAGCAAACCTCCACTATCCGCCGACAACAACTGTTTATCGTTATTCAAGAAAATGGCCTGAAAAATGAACTTTAATAACTCTCGCATCCTAGCATTTCACTGATATCAGATTCAACTTCAAAATGTTTCACTGATTTAGGACGTTCAATGCATTCAAGATATTGAAGAATACTGATGCTTCCATAAAGTTTACTTAATGTTTCATCATAGATTACCTAGAAACACTAACGCAAATATTTCTAACACATGAATACTATTGTTTTTCTAATTACCTCACATTCTTTCTTCACATGACTAAAACAAACTGCAAATGAATTGAATCGAACAAATAAATTTCTCAAATAAGTCGTCAATCCGAATCACCTTAAGGACAGCTGACGGGTGACCACTCAACGTTGCCAAACACTCTTTCGTACCGATCGAGAACACACGTACCATACAATCACCGCTGCATGTTGCAATTACCTTCAAACCAGTACAACCACTTCATTACACACATTAAGACCGTTCCATATATCTCGTAAAAACTATACAGTATTTCTCCATGCGAATAGATCATCACATACGAAGAAACCACACAAAATTTTAGCATTCACAAGATTGCATTGCAATAGAACATTATCGGATGGATATTCTAATACTGCATAAAAGGAGGCGAATTATCTTCAAAACTTCTGAACGCTTTACGAACTAATTTTGCTCTTGACACCAACAAAAAACTATTTCTCACAAATCTTCTACTTCAAATTCTGTCTTGCAGGAAGAATTTCCACTCTACTTTTACAAACATTTCAATTTTTCACTCCATCGCTCCAACGAGTAAGAGTCCAAAAGAATCACCTGAGTGGTGGATGAGAATTTAGCATCCCATACACCTCGCCGATGTCCACTCAACGTTCCAGCAATACCCAGCTGCATTTTCGCCCGGTCAATATGCCAGAGTTTCGCTGTTTTGTCCATTGAACCCGTCACACACAAACGATCATTCGCACTCACGTCCACACAAGTCACATCTTTCGAATGCGCCACAAGCGTTGACGCCGCACTCAGTTTTAAACTGCAATTCAGATGGATTACGTTCAAATAAGCTTTATAAACTACGCTTAAGAAGCTTTATATCACACTGCTATCTCATTGATTCAATAACTTATTCACTCAGCACATATGATAATTCATCACCAACACAACCTTCGTTTACCGATCTCTACGGTATACGAGATCATGACAACCAGCTAGCATTCATGCTGATTTCGAATAAATACGATTGAAACCCTATCAAAGAAATGAACCATATCAACTGGAACAGAATCGCTCGCTCAGAACAAGCTCACTGAATGATTACTTACCATTCAGAATCCGACGTGCCAACGTCTGCTAGCGACCATAGCTTAAGAGTTGTATCATTTGAGACAGACACGATGAAATGCTTTTTCGACGTATTCGAAAAACGTATCGCCGTCACATTGTTGGTATGGCCAGTCGCTAAGGCAATCTGAAAATAAACTTTTCATTCGTTACATCGCACAAACGGAGCGTAACGCCCCATCGAATATCGAAATGAAAAAAAATCTAACGCTATTCACCACCAAAGCACTAAAATCCCAAGAGAACCACATAAAACGGCATAATTACAACCAGAATTCTATTCAAATTTCACACGAAAGCATAGCAGCTTTCGACAAAAAACAAATATCATCAACTGTAATTGCAAAATTCAACACAAATAATTCAGAAACATTGCTTTAAATTATTCGAGGGATGCACCAATCATTTAATACCTTTCGTGGAACTGGTGTCTTCCTGTCGCCTTCGTCTAATTTCCATACAATAAACGAGTTGTCTTTTGAGGACGTCGCAAATACGCTCGTATCCCACGGGGCACTTATGACCGACAAAATACTTTCAGTATGACCTGAAATAGTGATTGATAACTGCTGATTCCTTTCTCGACATGCAAGCTAATTATCTATTATAACTAATTACCAAACTGAAGGAGCAAGTCCCTAAGTTCACTGTGTAGATGATTAATGCAAATCAACAACTTTAACTAAACTAATCACAAAGATAATAAAGACGATAATGAAATCCGTTATCATCACTACCAGATCGTCCTTTCTATCAGAACCACTTCAAATATCATCCCATTCAAACTCAATATCACAACTCAATGTCAATAAATTCAACACCTTCGACCACTCAATACATACTTAAGCTAATCAATCTCTTATGCNCATTCATGAATTGACAAAAATGCATTCTTCCAAATGAGCAAAGAAAATTGTGTTGAGAAAAGCAGAAAACTAACCGGAAATAAGATGGCATTCCCAGGTTTGAGTGCTATACATTCGTATCTCGGGACTATTCGCCGCCACCATCATATATTTCTGTTCCGCGCTTTTGGAACCAACGAATTCCAAATCGAATATTTCGTCATTGAAACCAACCATTTCACGTTTCACTTCGAACGTTCGCTCATCCAATATGTACAAATTCGACTCACAACTTATCAACAACAGCTCACCACAAATAGGATTTCGCAGAATTTGGTCGATACGACACCTAAATGAATTCGCTTTTACTTTGCCTATTTTGGAGCACTTTCTTTTGAATTTCATAATGAGAAAGAAACAACGCTTCCATGATCTAGCAACGTTTAC